CAAAGAGTGGGTAGTAAATGACACTTTATGAGAAATATTTTTTGTACAATATACTGGCATTTCATACTGCAATATAGGTAATAGTTTTGTGAAGTTTTAATTGGTGTATTACATTATCATTCCAGAAAGTTGATACTAATTGATCAATAACAGGTACTTCGTAGAAGAAAGAGCGGTATTATATCCGTCCAAATTGGTACCAGCCAATGAGTTGAAGTGTATTAAGTAGTATTTTTCCATTAGTGTGTTGAGTTCGTGACCAATTTGCGATTAAACTTAATTAACCAAATATTAAATATCATAGAAACTAATGACAGAGTGATTATGGGTCGGTCTTCTTATTTGTTAATTACAAGTGGTACTAGGGACATTATATCTGGTACTATCGCGACATAAAGTGGTACTGCATTACACTATGACTGGTACTACTTTTTGTAAATGTTGAGCAGAGTTGAAATAATCAATTTTTCGTCACAAAAGTTGGTACTAATCTATCAATAACAGGCACTACGTAGAAGAAAAAGAGGTATAATTTTTGTAGAAACTGGTACCATTCAATGAGTTGAAGTGTATATTAAGGTGTTTTTCCATTAGTGTGTTGAGTTCGTGACCAATTTGCGATTGAACTTAATTAACCAAATATCAAATCTTATATAAACTAATATCATAGTGAATATGGGTCGTATAAACATCATTTGCGACCGAAATTTGGTCTTCTTATGTGTTCATTACAAGTGGTACTAGGGACAGGATATCTGGTACTAACTCTTCATAATGTGGTACTGCCTCACACTATGACTGGTACTACGTTTTGTAAATGTTGAGCAGAATTGAAATAATCAATTTTTTTTTTAAAAAAAGTAGGTACTATTCGATCGAAATCAGGTACCAAGCAGAATAGGATGCGGTATCATATTTCTCAAAACTGGGACTATAATAAAAAATGTGATTTCTTTAATCCTTCATGTCTATCATGACACGTGGATCGTTCACACGTGATTTAGATGAAAAAAAGTGAAATTGAAAACATATAGATAGAATTTGAAGTAGTCATGTATGATGATTTATATGAGATGAAGTGTGTCATTCAATGAAATAAAGTCTATTGGTAGTGTTTTTTCATTAGTGTGTCGAGATCATGACCAATTTGCGATTAAACTCAATCAAAAACATTTAAAATCTTATATAAACTAATGCCAAAGTAATTATGAGTCGTATAAACATCATTTGCGACCGAAGTTCGGTCTTCTTATGTTTTCATTACAAGTGGTACTATGGACAGGATATCTGGTACTAACTCTCTATAATGTGGTACTGCCTCACACTATGACTGGTACTACGTTTTGTAAATGTTGAGCAGAATTGAAATAATTATTTTTTCTTAAAAAAGTAGGTACTATTCGATCGAAATCAGGTACCACGCAGAATAGGATGCGGTACCATATTTTCCAAAACTGGTACTATTATCAAAAATGCGATTTCTTTAATCCTTCATGTCTACCATGACACGTGGATCGTTCACACGTGATTTGGATGAAAAAAAGTGAAATTGAAAACATATAAATAGAATTTAAAGTAGTCATGTATGATGATTTCTATAAGATGAAGTGTGTCATTCAATGAAATAAAGTCTATTAGTAGTGTTTTTTATTAGTATATCGAATTCATGACCAATTTGTGGTTAAACTCAATTAAAAACATTTGAAATCTTATATAAACTAATGTCAGAGTGATTATGAGTCGTATAAACATCATTTGGGATCGAAGTTCGGTCTTCTTATGTGTTCATTACAAGTGGTACTATGGACAGGATATCTGGTACTAACTTTCTATAATGTGGTACTGCTTCACACTATGACTGGTACTACGTTTTGTAAATGTTGAGCAGAATTGAAAGAATTAATTTTTCTTAAAAAAAGTAAGTACTATTCGATCGAAATCAGGTACCACGCAGAATAGGATGCAGTACCATATATCCCAAAACTGGTACTATTATAAAATACGCGATTTCTTTAATCCTTCATGTCTACCATGACACATGGATCCTTCACA